ACTAACTGGAGCATCTGTCATATTAAAAGCCAGTCTAATTTTCTTCCATAGAGAGTTCCTCAAGTATTTGAAGAGTGTTCATGGCCAACTTGAACCTTCCCTTTTCCAGGCTTATTGATTTTAGTTCATAAGTTCATATATATGAACCATCTCTGGTTTCTATCTACTGAATCCATTATAGGTTGTCTGAATCTCTATTTATTTATACAAATAAGTACCAAGCACCTTTTTAAGCACCAGGAGAAAAAATGATGACCAAAACAGATCAATGTTTCCCTCTGGATGCAAGTGTAGAATTTCCTGTTTATTCTGATCTATTTCCATTTACTATGATTTAAATATAGACCAGTTATTTCAAAGAATATATTGATATACTAGAGGCCTGGTGCACAAAATTTGTGCACTGAAGGGATCCCCCTCAACCCAGCCTGTACCCTCTCCAATCTGGGACCCCTGGGGCCTAAACCAGCCGCTGGACATCCCTCTCACAATCCAAGACCACTGACTCCTAACTGCTACTTGCCTGCCTGCCTGATTGCCCCTAACTGCCCCCCACCAGCCTGGTCACCTTGTACTGCCCCCCTTGATGGACTGGTCACCTATAACTGCCCCCCCCACTGGCCTGGCTGTCTCTTACTGCCCCCCCTGCCAGCCTGGTTGCCCCAACTGCTCCCCTGCTGGCCTGCTGCTCAGTCATTTGGCCACCTCTCACTAACTCCCCTGCTGGCCTGGTCACCCTATGCAGCCTATTCAGTCATATGTTCAGTTTGATGGTTCCTTAGGCTTTTATTTATATAGATTTCATATCCTCCCAATAAGCTGTCTCTTCTAAACAAGGACATGCCTCTTTGGCAGCATAGTGCAGCCTACCATACATGAATTATACTCATCTGAGCAGGCAAATTTAGATTCCATAATAATGAATAAAATGTGAAAAGAATTGGGTAAAAAAATGAAGTCTTCCCCACCTACCCTGAAATGCCCAGAGTACTAAAACGTCCAGTATAGGACAATAACATTTTGCTGCTGTGCATTTCTGTCATTTGGAAATCTGGCTATTGCAATCTACCTATAGTGATGAGTCAAATAGAACAATCAAGAGAGAAATGTCTTAATGCATCCTGGGATCCAACCCATTTTTAAATACTGTATTGGAAACTCTCCCAAGATTAGAAAACCTGGATGAGTACATGAAGGTTGTGTGAATGTATTTTAGCTTGTATTGAGATGCCTATGGCTCTCACAAAAGGGGAATTCCATCGAGGTTTCCTGTCTCCTTTGTTTCAGTTCAATAATATCCAGAGTGCTTAAACCTCTTTCCCTCCCTTAAACACTGTATGTGTGCTTAAACCTCACCCCCACCCTGCTTAAACACTCTGTGTGCGTGTGAAACAGAGGTGGGGAACAGACATGGCTTTCTCAATGAATTATGTCCACTGTGCACATGCATGATGATTAAAATAAGCATTATAATGTCTGTGCTTTCTCAGGCAGCAACACATTTAGGGTGAATTTCAGGTAAATTTGGACTGGCTGAATCAAAACCATCTATCCCAAGATTCTTAATTAGGCATGTGGTTTTGAAAGTGAACTTTTTTTTCTTCTAATCAGGAATACTAGTTGATGATCATGAAAATGTTTTTTATCAGATAATCATTGCATGCAGATGTGTATTATGGAAAAGAAAGTCAGAGGACTTGCAATTATTTATTTATATGCATCCCCATTATAAGGATAAGATAGCCTCTTAATCATCTGAAGAGAGATTTAGTGGAAATTGAGAAATTTCTCATCAAAATTAATATCCCTAATAATGGTCTTTGAAGAAGTGTTTTTTTAACATTGAAACTTTGCAAGCTGTAAAAGGAGAAAAATACAAGTATATTTTACTGAATCATATAAAATAATGAAGTAGCCTAAAAACTGGTGAGATGCTACCCAATTATTAAACAAAACAATAGCACACCCTTTGAAATGTCTTCTCAGGTCACAAGGACACTCCCTTGCTCCAGCTCATTTTGGTCCTAGCGGATCCAGCCAGTAGGTAACCTTGCTGCCTCCTCCTGCCCCAGCCCCAGCTAACCAGTCCAAAGGAACACCTGACCAACCAGAGCTACTTTCCAAAAAACTGGCAATGTAGCAGAAAGAGAAACTCCCTCCCTCTGCCATGGGTAAGCTCTGAACTGTGGTACTCTTCTGCCCTGTGGACTGAAGGACAGAGAAAGCAGACAAAACAGGAGCAGAAGCCCAGTCAAGAGAAGGAAGGAGCGCTACAGCCAGAGTGCTGGTAGAGTCTGGGTGTCTGCTCCAAGGCCTGCAGGTTCCTGAGAAGACACTGCACGATGACAGCAAGGACCCCTTATTTGCTTAACTATTTCTAATTAGCTTCTGTTACTTGCCAGCATGTTGGATGTGCCAAAGAATGAACTGGAGCAGTACTTATGTGATGCCAGGTAATCAGTTAACCTTAGTCAATGCTCAGTAGTTCGTTATCTCTAAAATGAGAATATATAATTCTGGATATTTATATCCATTGTGTAAATAAAAATTAATAATTGTTGTGGTAAATGTATCTAAAAATCCTCAAAAATAACACAAAGCGTGTTTAATTTAGTATGAACGTGCTATCCTTTAAAAAAGAAAAATTTATAAGAAAGACAATACTTTAAGTGCTATCTTTTATGTAATTTAATGCTGCCATTTGAACTGTCCAGAAGCAAACAGTTTGTTTATCCACTCTTAAAGAAAAATAGTTGTTTTAATCACTTTTGATATGTGACTTAATGGGGTTTGAAGAATAGTATATTGCAAACAATTAGAAATTTCCTTTTGAGGTACTAACTGGTTCAGTGGGTAGAATATCAATTTTACCATTATACCACTTTTACCCTAAAAATCAATCCATCTTGCCTATCTTTCAGTGGTCTTACAATGTGACATTTAATTGGCACACTTATAATTATATATCTACACATACACACCTGCACACCGTTTATCAATAACACTTCTGCTTCTTCTGCTTACCAGGTTTCTTGTACTGAAAGTTACTTAACCTATGCCACCTCATCAATATGCATCCTCTTTTTAAAAAATATTTTTTATTGATTTTTTTACAGAGAGGAAGAGAGAGGGATAAAGAGTTAGAAACATTGATGTGAGAGAAACATTGACCAGCTGCCTCCTGCACACCCCCTTCTGGGAATGTGCCCACAACCAAGGTACATGCCCTTGACCAGAATCGAACCCGGGACCCTTCAGTCCGCAGACGGAAGCTCTATCCACTGAGCCAAACCGGTTTTCTTTCATCATGTCCTCTGTCAAAATGGGGGGAAATCACACCACTTGTTGAAAGATGACTCAGATAAAAGTCTATGAAAGTCCTTTGTAAGTAGTAAAGGATTATACAGAGTTAAGGAGCCAGTATTCCCAATTAAGTGTATAAGAAATTCATAATCTGAGGAATGGGCCACGAATGAAAGGCGGCTTGCTTCTGCCCATTCTGTCTCCATGATAGTTGAAAGAACTGCCTGAAAAAGTGATCAGCCTCCTTTCATACGCTGGTGGCAATTCTTCATTAGGGGAAGATCTTTTCAAGAAAGAAACTCAAAGTCTTTCTGTCTTCCATGTGCGTAACATCTGTGCTAAGCCATTCCATGCACACTTCTTTGAAGCACTGACTGCCTAGAGGAAAGACTTTGATTTGGGCTTTATTTAAATGCCTGGACTTCTATTGGAGAAACAAAAGAGTTCCTAGTAAAGGCTCAGCTGGGAAAGAGACCAACCTCCAACCGATTTAACTACTCAGAGGCCAAAGGAGCCTGGGTGTGTGTGTTTTTTTTTTGTTTGTTTTTTGTTTGTTTTTTTGTTTTGTTTTGTTTTTTGTCTTAGAGCACCATGCCCTGGAAAGCCCCCGTGAACTCAGAGCACACGCGAACAGCTGGTTTGGGAGGCTGCTGACCCCGGCTGCAATCACTGCGGTAATTAGATTTAATTTTCCTAATCCTACAGTGCCTGGCTCCATCGTGTCTACATCTCCTGTTCAGAAAACCATTACCCTCGTTTAATAATAATAATGCTTGGACATGATTAAGATTTTTGCAGCTGAACTCCCCAATATTAGAAATCACTTTGGAAGGGGGAGGGGAGGCTGTAAATACAGCTATTCAAACGATGTGCCCCCAAAGAGTTTAATCTGGAGGTTATCCTACTCAGAAACTTGCCCGAAAGATCCTAAACCCATTCAGCAGACTTTCGCTATCATTCCCCGCCCCTCTTCTGCAAGTCTTGTGTAGTAGCCTTGTATTATATTAGCAGCTCCCTTAGAAAGATGGAACTGGCCCTAAGTCGTGGTGAGCCTGAAGGGTTTGGGTTTCACGTGTTTCTGCAAACCCAGGGAAGCATGGCTTCACGCTTCTGGATCCCGGCGGTTACTTGCTCTGAAAGCGGAGCAGAGATCAGAGGACTCTGCAGAAACCTGTCCTCCTTGCAGGAGAGAAGGAAAGACTCCTCCGATCTGTGTCCTCTTGCGTCTTGGGGGGAGGGGGAGTTAGAGGGGGTGCCTGTTTATGTTGTCAAGGAAAGCCATCAGTGCCCTTCTCTGGGGAGACGGGTCGGTTTTGTCATGTTCCGCGTGTTGTAAGGCGAAGCTGGACCGCTGATAGCGGAGGAGGAGGCATCGAGTCCCTGGAAACTGGAATTGCTTGCTTGGTGAAATAGGAACAGCAGACCCTCGCTGCTCTGAGCACAGGGCGCCTTCTGATAGTAGGAAGGAGGGAACAGGCAGTCACCAAAGTTCTAAGTATGCCTTAAACCGCCCCCCCCCCCCCAACTCCCCTACCCTACCCCCACCCCTCAGCACCAAAAGAAAAATAAGAGAAAGACAGGAAAGCCTGGGCTGACGGAGTGTTCCAGGCAGAGAATTGCTCAGGACTTCAAACACAGGGAGTCATTCTGTCAAGGGGAGGGGGCGGGCGGGGGCAGGCGCTGGGCCTCTCTCACAAAGTCCTCCTCTCTTTGCTCCCTCCCACTTCATTCACTTGCAAATCAGTGTGTGCCCACAAGAGCCAGCTCTCCCGAGCCGAGCCGGAGCCCTAACCTTCCCATCCCGGGAGCTGGGAGCTGCAGTTTCAGCAGTGGCGGCGGCGGCGAGCGCCGCAGAGAGCGGGGAGCACAGAGCTGGGAGCGCAGCGGCGGCGGAGGCAGGAGCAGCCGGGGTGGGTCGCGGGGTCTCCGGGCGCCGCGAGGCGAGCAGAGGTGGGTTCGATCTCTGTTTGGTGATGATGGTGGTGGCCGTGCATGCCTTTTCTGTTTCTCCATCCTACAGCTTTGGTGGAAGCCAATCAGAGAGAGCCCTCTCGGTGGGAGCCGAGCGCCGGAGTTGGGAGGGATGCTCAGCCTGGCAGCCCGGGGTGGGGTGGGCACGCGGGTCCGGCGGGCGCTGCTGCCGCCGCTGCCCACGGCCAGCGCCGCTTCCCGGGGAGCCTGGGCGCTGCTCCTCCGCCTCCTGGTAAGACGGATCGGCTCGCTCGGGGCTGGATGGGGGGCTAGGGAAGAACCCGCTGCCCTTCTCTCCGGGGCAGAGGCTTGCAGGGGGAGCGCCGGCATTTGCAAAGTTGGCTGGTCCATCACCAAGGGCGCCGGGTGCCTGTAGCACCCGCAGGGCCGATTGGGGCTTTGATTTATTTCCACCTGCCCACCCCACAGGGGTCCATGCAGGGGCTGCTTTTGGCTGAGTTACGTTTCCTGGCTCTGGAGGAAAGCAGGAAATCGGGTGGCTTGAAAACTCTTGGATGCTCCCCATAAGGGAAAACTTAAGCGAAAGAGATGGTCTGGTCCAGGGAAGGAGCTGAGGAAAACGGTTCGCATGCTCGTTCGGACAGAAATGCTTAGATGGCAAGAAAAGTCCAACATTGGACTCCGAAAATGGAGCCCCCTGACTGTCCAGGGAAAAGTCATGCATGAACGCAGCTCGCCCGGAGCTCTGGCCGGCGAGGCACACATCAGGGGTGAACGCCTCCCTGGGCTGGTAGGAGAGCATACCGGGGGCGCTGCCCGGGGCTGGGTGTCCGAGGAGGGAGAGGGGGACCTCGGTGTGCTGTGCTGTGCTTGTTGACCCGGGAGCGGAATAACGGGGGAGCCGTTGCAATGTGCACTGCAGCAGTCGCAGAGCTGAGATCACTTCTGTAGTTATCCTTCTGCCAAGAGTTGCGGGAGATGTTAAGATGGGAGATGCTGGCGAGGTCAGCGCGATGCTGAGAAGTGTTGTCACTGCTGCAATAAAATCCATATTTTATGGGGAGTCATATGCAGGTTTCCGTGAGCACAAGGGGCTGCTCACCTGAGTTAACTACCGAGAACAGTGGAGAACCTAGAAGTTTAATGGTCTGGAAGAGCCACACATTTTTTTTCTCTCTCCCTTTTTTTTTTTTTTTTTTTTTGTAAAGACATTTTAATTAGGATATTCACACTAAAGAGGTGCATTAGGCGCATGGCTTGTCCAGTTTCCACTTTCACTTACTGAAGCGCCTCATGTGGGGAAGAAGAGGGTTTTCCCTCAGGAACGCTGCTCCGGGTGGCTGGTCTGGAGGGATGCACATGCAAAATGTGCGCTTTGGGAGTGTTCCTTGTCCAGGAGGCGCAGACTCCTCCCTGTGCGGGGAGAGGAACTCGGGACCTACCCAGTCCATGCACAACTCTTCTGGGCATGGATGACAAATGTGCGAATACGCAAGGTGGGCGAGGGATGCTTATTTCCTTTCTTCTCTCGCTGACGCCTTTACCTAAAAACCTTTAGGATTCTACTTCAGGAAAAATAAATCTCTTCCAGGTTAGCTGGAGATCCTCTTTTGTGTAATGGCACTTGCAGGGCTCTGAACCTGCTATTTTGGGGAGCCGGAAAACAAGTTGTGTGGAGGAAGGGGATGTGACCCGGCAGATGTCTTCATTGTGTCATAAGGAAGAGGGCAAAGTGTATGCCCGAGGCCAGATCTTCAAGGCAGAGCTCCAAAACTTAAAAGAAGCCCCACAATGTATTGGCGAATACAGTCACCCAGGGTTGCATCTCACCCACTTTTGCTCCTTGGTGTGTTCTAATTAAGTATGAATTTGGGGGAAAACAAAAGGCAGATCTTTTTCTACCGATTCTGCTCGTTCATGGCATACTTTTGAAGCAGAGGAAGTACAATTTCTTCAGGGGGGGGGGGAAAAAACTTGAGAAGCAGCAGCACATTTTTGAAGGAAAATGGCAATGGTTTAGTTATACTGTAGTTGCCTACAATTATCTTCCACTGCCATTATAAGTAAGTGACAGACTGGTGTCTCTGTAGGGACTTTTAGTCCCTTTACTCCCTGGCTTTTACATCAATTTATTGCAATTACATTTCTTAATGCCAACTCTGCAAAGATATTATATAGAAACAAAATCATTTTCTACCAAGTTGCCTATGATCAGAAAACATGTACTTTACCTCCTCCACCCACCACTTCCATCAGCTTTGCAAGTGAAAACTTGCTCTGAGGCACTCTTCTTTCTTATGGGAGGGAAAAAAACTATCTTGCAAAATACCGCTCTGAGATACTTGAAACTGCTAAAATTTCTAGAAAGCACAACTACAGTTCCAGGGTAGAAAAAGACACTCTTTCTTTTTTTAAAGACACTTTCTTATTGCAAATGCATCGTAAGTTAGAACAAGTTCTGATTATCAATTTAGAGCTAATTGAGTGGTTGCCCCCCCCCCCATAAGGATTCTTTTAAAAAGAGGTCAGTTATGACAGGCATTCTGAATAAAACTATGTATCTTCCTAAGGAAGTGAAACTGAGATGTTTGATCCCCCCTTCTGGCCCTTACTTGCTTTGCAATGCCAACTTCCCAAGGCAACTTCCTCTTGAAGGTCAGAAACTTTTTTCAGTTGGAAGGGACATCTAGTGGGTTACTCCATGCATCTATCTCTCTCTGTGGTTCAGTTGCATCATTGATTTTGTCATCTAAGATAATAATCATGTAACAGGTTTTTTCTTCATAGACAAAATAGTATTCTCCAAATGCTATTTTGACATTCAAGCCAGGTCAAAAATCATTACCATTGATATCTGTGGCATAGTTCCTTTAATTTAAGGAATCCAAGAGTATTTGGACCAATTTTGGGATATCCAGGTTTTTGGTAACTTTTCTATGTTTCTAAATAAAAGCAAGGAATTCATCACCAGCAATATAAAATTTCCTGACCTTGTCGAGACTGTCCTTCCTCTATTCAAATTTACCCCATAATAATAATGGTGCTATAGCTATAACTCCTAAAATTGCACCTGAAGAACCCCCCACCGCTTAAGAAATATTTTAAGAAAAACAACTCATTAACCTTTCAAAGATACATGAACAAAAAACAAGTTAGATAAAGCTAGAGGTTTCTAATTTAAAGGAGCCCCAATTCAAATAAGCATATATTGGAAGTCCAAAAGATGTTTGAGATAGACATGTCACCCTTATTTTGGAAGGTGACTTTATTTCTCTCTCTGATGTATCACAACACATTGTAGGTAGCCTACTTCTTTAAAAACTCTAATTTGAAGTAAGATAGTTCCATGGGAGTGAATCAGCCTCTTCTGCTGACAGTCTGCAAGTTTCAACTCCCAATTTAAAATCTGTTCTAAAGTTTGAAATGTGTTCCAAATGAGATAACATCCACAGAAGCCAGTCGCCTTCTGCTGCTTGCTTAGTCATGGCAGCCCATTCTTTGGGGTCGATCAGAATTAGGGTCTCATGTATAAAAATAACCAGAGGCTCCTCAGTCAGAATTGCATTTTTAATAGCGTTTCAGCCTAGCTAGTGTCTACAGAGCTCATCTGATTTGCTTGACAAAAAGGTGAAAATGTAGAAAATCAAACCTTCTCTAGTTTAAATTCTTTTTTCTGAATAATGATTCTAAATACAAAGACTCAAGAACATCATGCTAATAGGGAAATTGCTGAACAAAAGAAAAAAAACACACACCGCGCATTCAGTTGCCACACTGTTCCAAGAGATGAAATATAAAAATATAAGGCTTGGGTTGATTTTTTTTTCTCTTCATTCTTTTATTTTCTTTTTTTCCCTCTGTTGGGATTTTTATTCCATTTTGAAGACAGATGAGAGGTTGAGGCACTTTCCTGGATCTGAACAGTAATATTTTTGTTCGAGCTTTCCACTTATAAAGATTAACTGGCCTACATTTTTTAAAGTTCCTATTCCTAGGAATGCTCCCTTTTTCAAAGCAGTCATATGAGAAACTTCAGGTTCTCCCTAATTAACTCTAGAGCCAAATGTATAGAGTCTTTGTAACCTCATCATTCACAAAGTAAGAAGATAAGGTAAGAGGGGACAAGTACAAATAACCCTTCGAAAAGGTGGTGCACCTTCATTTACTACAAAAGTAAAATGGAGTACAAGCCCTTTAAGCCAAAATGGTTGGGTCAGAGGGGACCCGATACAGCCAGTACTCTGAACGAGACTGAACTATCCAGGAAATTTTAACTCTTCCAACAAAGAGAACTTACTGGACAATGAACGCTCTGAGCATGCGTACATGAGTGTAGAGTAGACACATATGCAGAGGATACCATGTCCTCCATCCCAACAGATGATTAGAAATTATTTTACCTTGTTTCATCTGTTTAATATCTTTACACTAACGGTGTTGAGTGCTCATTTCCTCTATTAATTAGATCAACTTGTTGAGATTTCTAAGAGGAAGCATTTAATTAAAGCTAGGATATTACTATTAAACTTGATGTGCAAATGGGCAGCATGAGTCCCAAGCTTCTTCTGCAATATGAGTGTTCTCTTGTAGACGAGAACAAGTTATGGGGGTGAGGAATATAAAGCTAGCCACTACAGAGCAGCATATGATTGATCTTCATATTTTATCACTTGAGAGAGCACTGTGATTTTCTCTTTCTACAATTTTCCAAATTGGTAGATCACCCAAAATATATACAGGAGACCTCATAAGTCATAGGAACAGAAATCAGCAAGAAAAAATTAAATTGAGGTGTCCAGGTGAGCAAAATGAAAAGAGATAAGGAAGTGAATTTTTACATATGAGGGAAACATAGGAATAGAAGTAGAATAAAAACTGCCATTTTTGTAATGGTTGAATGTTCTACTTTATAAATACTACTACCATTAAAGACAACTTTAGAAACATAGTTACATCATTAACACGTACATAAACATGTTACTACATGTTTATAAACATTCTACCACAGAATGAAAATT